TTCCGATAACGAAATGCTGGAGGATCCACGTACACCGGCAGCTTTGGGACTCAACATAGCGAGCTAATTACTTGCTGAGACCATCTTTAGTGTTGTATACACTACCCACAGCAAATCCAGATCAGACTAGATGCTCCCAAAGCTATTCATATGGGTTCAAAGGAAGTCATATCAGCAGCTGACAAAAAAAATTTTAAATGTTTCCCTAGCATATGGAAGGCCATGTTAATAATTTACTCTAAGTAACAGTGTAGAAATCCCCATATGCTCTATGCCAACAAGTATAATACTCACAATACTCAGTCCTGTGAAAATTATTCTGCATTAGTGACCAAGCAGAAGAAAGCAGATGGAGACTCAAAAGAGGAAAGGCTCCTTTCTCCTCACTACTGTGCTGCACAAACATTTTGATTTTCAGGATTATGGTCTGGCTTCCAACCATTTACCATATTTCCTCTGAATTTGTTCCACGTCTTAAAGTCCTGACTACTAACCTTGCCTGAAAGCCTGTATTTCTCAGTTCCTCCACCTTGGACTACAGCCAGAAAACTCACTGATAAGTCCTGACCATTACAGTATTCATAGACTGTCCCCCTACACCATTTACTCTGTTTTATCTACAGGGACATTTGGTGAAAGCACCAAGGAAGGGTAGTAGTTTTCTCAGAGATGGTAAAATTAGTCCAAATTCAGGTTTCGCACCTGTACTTAAGGATGCATCTAGAAGATGCCCAGGTGTTCATCTTCTACCACATCACTACAAAGTCTGATGGCAGTAATGAATAGGACTACAAGTTCCTCAATCAATGTTACTTGCTGTTTTACTGTTCATGACACTGTATATCTGCCATGTAGACGCTGTATATCTGTCTCCTACCACAGTCGCAGCTTACTCTCAATAACCTCCAGATGCACTACAAATCTCAGCACCTGTTAACCTACAACAAGGGCATGGCAAATTACCATCTACATGGCTCTCTTGAGATATTATTACTGTAATATTTGGCACCAGTCACAGAGGCAGGACCAATGTTCTTGAATGGCTAAGAAACTATTGTACTGTGACTGGAGAAACCTATAATTAATTTTGTTATGCAAGTAGACCCTTACACTGGATGATTTGCAGTGCTACAGACAACAAAATGCCTCACTACAGTTCAAGATAAAATTCCTTACCTTAATGGTTAAAAAAAATTTATTGTCTGCTCCATGATGTTTATTACAAGAAACATAGATACAACAGAGGCTGGCAAACATTCAGTACAAATACTACAAAGGATGTGTTTTATTAAGAAAGATGACTTAAGGAGGTAGAAGCACTCTTAAAGATTTTGCAGCTTATAAATATCTGTCTCTAGATGAATTAGTAATATGGAAGTAGAAATGAATTGTAACTCCAAGGCCACACTGATAAGATTCATGACAGAATGGTAGATTAATTGCTGCTTGCTCCTTGACCATTTACGGATACAATACAGGACAGATGTTCCCCAAACTTTTCTTAGAAAAATCTCACAGAAAACTCTGCCAGTATGTCATGCCGCACTTTCCTGAATCTGCCAGGAGCTTTATTTGTAGGTGTCACTGTTTTAATGGATCGACTGAAATTTGACAGAACAAATGCAACAATCATTATGACAACTTTAAGGCGGTATAGATATTTAAATCAAATCTCAGATTATATTATTCAATCACCATGTACAGAAATCCAACATTTATTCCTGTCCAAATGCAAAGATCTGAGATAATCGATGACACATATTAATAGAATTTGCAAGTTTTATTTTGTTGATATTTGAAACAAGTAGTAGGCATTTTCCTACATTGTATTAAACCAACATAATAAATACTATGTGAAGCTTCTGAGCGAGCTCTAATACTTACAGAAGAAATAATAAAGTTAGATTTTTATAATAGGTCTTTTTGAGATCTTCTTTAACTCTCAGTTTTTAAGAGATTGTTTTACAAATCACTATAAGAGCCATTTTTTGTGTATGTTAAAAAAAACTCAAGATTATCTCAAGTGGATATATTTTTACCTTAAGTAAAAATAAATCAATTTTTACTGCTTTATGTATGCCTTGCAGACACGTACTTTTTAAAAAAGAGCTTTAATCAAAGCAGGAAAAATAATAGTTCTTTTTAATATTTGCATGGGGGAAAGAGAAAGAGTCACAGCACCATAATCTTAGCAAGTATTTGCCACACAGAGGTCTTGCACTCTGAAAGCCACAATTCCTTTCAGTTACTTAGCAAGAAATGTAATGGTCACTGCATTTGATGCAACACTAAGTCAAAAGCAAGAGAGCACTGCAAATGTTCTGAGGCCACAGCCTTGCTTGTGGAAAGAATTTTTATGAATTTCTGGAAACAATAAAGAAATCTAAAGTACAGTTTTAAAAACTGTGATTTACTTCCGTCATAAAACCTCCCAATACTCGACTACCCTTAGCAGATAATTCATAGAAACACCTTTAAATTGCATGGACTTTTTTTAAGAATTGAAATAGTTACTAGCTTTCCTTCTGCCTGGATTCTGCAACAAAGGGATGGAGAAAAACACAGTTTTCCAAGGCTTCAAAGGCAAAAGAAATGAGCAACGAAGAGACTTGTCAATTCTGGGATACAATCCCAACCTAACTGGAGCTCATAATTAAGCAGACTTGACAAAGCGTGGGGGCAGGGGGCGTCAGGTAAATCTTACACTGGTACTATCTCGCATGCGGTAAAAACAACGATGAACAAAAGGTGCGCTCAAAGGCAATGAAATGCAGAAAAGCATCCCCTCTAAGAGCCATTGCTTAGCATCAAAGGAAAAACAAACAGATAAACTTCATCTTGCCTTAAATCATTAATGAACCATTCAGTCATCAATTTACTAGGGCAGTTGAATTTCCTTATTAAGCACCTGAGTAGCGCTGTGAACTTCCAAAGATCACTCTTATATCCTCAAAGTGAACGTGATCATAATGCTATGCTGAATTGGTGTCAATCTGATTAAAGTCCAGTGGTTGTATTTGATTAACAGAAATCCACATTCCTGCTATTTAGTTTTCAGCCTTTTTAAATTCGCTGTTTAAACAGAGGAGGGGGAGGAGAGGCATCTTTCTGCTAAGGCTAATATTTGGAACTTCATGTCGCTTGTGAAACAGGAAAAATACTTGAGTTGCCAAATGATAATGTTTATGAATAAAATTTAAATAGGGTACTAAATATTTTCCAAAATTTTTTTTCCTTTGTTTGCTTTTAGCCAGAAGCTAATTTAAATAGTCCTTTGTAGGCAGGTTTAAGTATCAGTCACACGTTGACAGAATATAGACAAGTATGATCAGAAATTAAAAAAAAAAAAAAAAGAGAAAGAACTACAGAGACAAAAATCAACTGTTTGCAAAGTTTAAGCCCATAGCAAGCTTCCTGTCACTGCTGGAAAAGCTTTTCTTCTCTTGTTAAGTCTCCAAATTGTAATTAGACTTGTTATGAAGTATTAGAGTTATATGCATACAATTGAAAACATTTATCATTCCAATTAAATAGTAATTTCAAGAACAGTTTGCCAAGAACCAGTTTGGATGACACTCAGCAGACTATCCTCACCAAAATGCTCATGTGGAAAAGTACACTATTTTTAATTAATTAAAATCTGAAAAGCTCCTACCTTTCAAATTTACAATTTTTTCTTAGCATTTTTTCTGAATCTGTCTAAAGTTTTCCATTACAGTAGCCTTATTCTGCATATGCAAATAAGCCCCCATAGACAGAAAGAACTAATGCAATTTAATGCTTTCAAAACCACTGACGTTATATTCAGGGTCTGACCTAAATCCACAAAAACAAATCTTAAAGGTTAAAAAGAGATAGAGTAAAAGTTTGATGACACTTCCTTTCCATTCAGTATGCTTATATTTCTGTATTTTTACATTATACTTTTACTAAAGTCTACGATCATTTATACTTTAGTACATTTTTAAAGATTTTAGAAAATCTCTTAACAGAGTATGCTAGAAATATGCAGACATGGGAAAGAAATATAATTTCTAAAACATCTTTCTGATTAGTATGAAACATTATTTAGAACACCTCCAAGTTAAAAGTAATATGTTGGTTTTATTTAAAATACCTGTTATAACTATTAGTAACCACTGTGTTAGAAGTCAACCAGAAAGATTTTTCCTGTTCATTTTAAGGCCGTCGCTTTGATCAATTTTCTCAATAATTTAAAAGAAAACTTCCACCTTTGAAATCTCTACATTTTTCTTACTGTTTTTCACTCTGTCTGCAACATAATTATACATCTTCCATATGTGTTTGCTTAATCTTAAAATAGATTAGCCGATCAAAAGGAGGGAACATAACAGTAGAGGAGGAATATTGGTCAGAAGGAAAAGTTGAAGTTAATACCTCAATTATTCCTTCATTCTCACTCTGTTTGCTGAAGGATGAAGGACATCTTGCTCTCTAAACAAACATGAAACCTACTACTTAACACACAAGCAGTTTATTTTTTTTTATGTAGTCAAATATGCCTCATTATTTGTAGCGTGCAAGTCTGTTCAAACGCTTGCCATTAACCGAAGATTTCCGAATAGCAATTGTACATTTCAATCACTACTATTAAAGAGCACATTCTCATATAATCTATAGCAAAACAATAGATTAGTGCTATTATCCATTTATAAGTAAATTTCTCTCTACTACAGAAACATATAGAAAATATTGGTCTAGATGATTTACCCAAAGCAAGCAAGATGACCCACTCAGAAAACAGTAGCTTGCTTTTACTGATCTCCACCAATCCCCGAGACACAAAGAATTATCCTCAATTAACACAACGGGTTAAGTATGCTTTTTACCAGTTTTAGAGGCTATAATGAAGTTACCTGTCATTAATGATCCAGTTCAGACAGAGATTGAGGGAATTAAGGTTTTTGCATCTCTTTACTATTTCCATCACGGTTTCATTATCCAGTTCTGTGATATGACGTAGATCCAAGCTGGAAAGATTTCTTAGCTATTGAGACAAATATGATAGAAAGAAATAATCTGAAACTTATTCATATACATAACTGTTATAAAAACTTTTATACTTTCTGGAAGCATGTATAATACGTGACAGCTAGCCAAGAAAGATGAAGTTACTATATTTTCCGCAAAAAGGAAACCTATCAGAGATATTCACACAATCTGACTTTTACCATCTAAAATCTACACCCAAATTTGGAATTCAGGCAGGCTCTCAGTTACTTCATGAAATCAGATCTCTCCTGCATATGAGTCCATGCCACCTGTAACAGGGATGTAGGCCTTCCTCTTTTTACCATATGAGGTGTAAGGTTTCAGTTTTTGTACCTAGATAGGAATGCCTACTCATTTAATTAAAATAAAGAGGGGCAGGGAGGGGAGACAGAAAGCGCATTTGCGCTCAGATTCAAATACATTCCATCACAAAATCCAGAAATCTGAGACTTTACAAAACTGAGTAAACATCATAAAATTTCCAGAAAATGCAGCATTTAAGTATTCCTACCTGCACAGCCATCAGTTACGACTTGAGAATTCAGAATAACAAAATTTGGAGTAGCAGAACAATATAATTTATGATCTATGCATTGGGTAACTAACATTAATCTGATTTATTAGCATTGTTAATAATTACAATGGTCTTCAAAAGCAAACAAAACTCCCTTACTACTTTTATAAGCCATGGATTGACAGAAGGAGATAGATTTGAGGCTGATATTTACAATTTTCTGCAGCATCCTCTAACAATAGATCAGTTTAGTCATAGTAACTCCCAGGTGTTGTTTGCTTTTTAAGCTTTCTGAAATAATCTCTCTTACACTCTGGAACAAATAATTGCATTAGGTAATACTGAAACTTTAATTAAATTGGCCTTCCTTGTAAGAGAGAATAATAATCCTTTTCAGTGATTTAAGTCACTAGGGATTTGATTAAGTAAAGACATACAAGTGAGATCATATAATTGGTCCACTTCAGTAGTTAAATATTAAGTCAAGGTATTTAAGAAAAAAAATGAAGACTCCAAACGGATTAAGTCTTTAGAAAAGGTGTTCTGGTGTTTTGTTCTAGAAGTTTTTAGCATTCTCCAGTCTAAAATTCTGCCAAAGAAGCATAAATGTAAGGAGCCTGACCTCTGAGAAACAACTGCAGAATATTTCTATAGGAAGCAAGGAAAAAAAATATATTCCTATTATTAAAATGCTATGCCAGCTGTAACTGTTGAGCTGCTGCTTGTAACCCCATTGTATTTCTGATGCTCTTGTTACTCGCTTATTAGAGAGAGGAGCATGTGATTATTTCACAAACGAACAGATCTTGCACACTCTGTCTCTCTGTTTCATGCATGCTCTAAGACGTTTAGAAAACTTATTTTCTATGCACCCCCAAAAAGGGCATAGCTAATCCCTCATTTTTTGGGATGAGTTGCAAGGAGGAGGGGAAGCTCAAAGCAGTTTGAATTATCCTCACCTTCATACAGCTATTCATATTAGATAATTTTGCACCTCATTGGTCTTTGTGCTATAATGGCAGTAACATGGCCAAGTCCTGTGACACACACCGAGGTCCTGTGCAGAGTTCTAATAATGCAAAATGATGAGTACTTTCTCAAATGTGCTTCCTGCGCATGTAGAATTTGCTCTGTGGCTGTTTTGTAAATAAACTGCATGCACAAACTCTGACAAATCGTTATGATTGTGTTTCATATATCTAGCTGCATAAACAAAAACCCAGCAGCAATATCTCTACTTAGAACAAGGGATCTATAAATAACGACATATTGTTGAACTAGAACATTTTGTTTCTGCTTTCTTAGTATGTTTTTAAAACACAGTGTGTTAGGGCTGACTATCCCAATTACCAGAAAGCCATGGGCTCTTAAGAAAAATGTAATATATATACTTCCTGCAGCAGGACAACTTTGCCAAATTTTGATTTAGCAGATTACCAGAGTGATTAAATTCTCTGCGTGCTCCCATGACATTCATTTCCCTAGTAACCAGACTTACCTTTCCTGAGATGGTATAGCCCCTTATTCCCTTTTTATAAAATAGGAAAATGAGGCACAAATAAATTCACTACGATCACGTACAGAGCTTGTGATGATAATGGGAATTAAAGTCAGATCTCCTGAACCCTCTGAAGTAAGTGCAAAATCATCTTATATAGGGCAACAAATTCTATAGTATAGGAAATAAATCTACTGGACAATTAAACAATACATTATGCTCTACAACATTAATCAAATATTTACCAGGAGACCTCAAAGATAAGTGGAGAACCTTCTCATTGCAAAAAGAGAAGTTCTAGCTAAAATACACCTTCTTCTAAGACAACACTTCATTATGAGCAGGTAATAATACTGCTCTGTTCATTCTTTGTCATTGTTGCTACTTAAAGGGTAAGTAATATGAACTTTCACTAAAGATAAAAGAATGTATGAAGGTCCGTGCTCCTTGAAAATGGTGTCTAATTCACCTAACTTCAAATTAGGTGAAGGATGACAGTACGGTATCTACTCAGTTGAGGCAAAGATGAATGCAGCGGAAAATTTATGATTTCCCACAAAAAATGGACTGTTGCATTATACAGGTAGACTCAAAAACTACACTGAAATCCTATTAGAAGTCAGTGACAAAATTAATAGTATTTCCATGAAGCAACTTTATCAACCAACACTTACTGTCACATTCCTTCATTTCAAACAGCCTACTTCATACCTGACCTATTTGGTAGGTTAAATCTTCTTTTTATCAGACATAAGGTACTTGGAGCCAGCAAACCTTACCACCTTAGAAGTTTGAAGAATTCCTCTATAGAGGGGGTGGTGGTACACTAGATAAGAGCTCTTCAAGTATAATTTGATTGATACAACCTTAGTACTGCCATTTCAGAAGAGCAAATGACTTTCAAGGGCTGGAGGACAAGAAACACATCCCCTTAACTATCATCAGATTCTTAACACGATTTTGATCGATCTGAACATGGCAAGTAAAGAAAAGTGCTTCTGTACCTACTTAAATCAGAGGGATCACAACACATAACTCTGAAGTAGCATTAAATTGAGAATAAAAAAAAAAATAGTTGGACTTCTCAGTCTTCAGCACATGCATAAATCCTGAGTAATATAGCATACCTGTATTCAGCATTTTTCTACAGAAAGAGGGTATTCTGTTATTTAAATACTCAGTCTCAGGGCAGCACAATAATTAAAGCTTTCCATGTGCGTGTGTGTGTGTGTGTGTGTGCGTGTTAATTAAAAAAAAAATCTTCATGTAGCAGTATCTTTTCCTTGAACAATTTTAGGGCAATTTTCCTGCAAATATTCACCTTTTCGCCAACTCTTAATTCTATAGCTCTGTGAAGAATGCTGAGCATGAGTACAATTTAAGCTTTGCACTCACTTCTAGCAATAAGACAAAATGTTCAACTGAAAAAGGAATTTTTAATGCGAGAATAAAATAGACAACGAAGACAGTATATAGAAGGTTTAAAGATATAACATGAAAAATAAAATGAAAGAATCAGAGAAAGGAAGCATAGTTAAACTAACTTTGTGCGCTATACATAACATTGCTGAAATTATTGAATATTGACTCATGAATAACTGTTTTAAAACTGTGTAATAATAGCATTTAAATTTCAGAATCTAGTGAGGTGAATGAGATTAGGAGGGGACAGAATGTCGCTGGAATGCATCTCAAACCCACTAACTGACAGAGAATCAACAATCCAGTATTCAAAGTTTTTCTGAGGGAGATTGCCTGTGAACATGTATAGAAAGGGAATCGCTGGACTGTAAACAATAGATGTAAATGAACCACTTAGATCACAAAATGGTCCGAAACAAAGGAAGTTGAAAAAAACAGAACTTCAGTTGTTTTAAAAAGTCATGTTAAAATATTAAATACTACTATTGTTAAGAAATTATATACTACTTTTGGAACTAACATACATGTTTAAAATTATTATAAAGGCATTTATATTCAACACTTTGGTTGGTTCATTTAAATGAAATTTTATGGAAGTCAAAATATTTCAAGATTCAGAAATTATTACATTATTTTTGTCCATGAATGCTATGGATTTCACAAGACTTATCTTGATTACTCAACCTCATAACATTAAAGCTTTTTGAAATATTGAGAAGCTAAAGCATTTCAAAACTATTAAATTAAAAAAACAGGGAAAAATATGCTCAATTTTGAGACTGTTCAAATTTAGGATAAATTTCATATAGTTTAGATGAAGATTACTGTTACCATTCGGATCACCATTTTTTTTCCAGTGTGAGTGTACCAATTGTTGTGAACAGTTAGCAGTTATTGTAAGAGAGTATTAATATACCGATTTAATGAGTTTGCAAATCTTTTTTCACAGCTTTTCCAACTTAACTCCTGAACAGATATGCTTGCTTAAGAATAGAACAATTCACAGAAGATCAATCCTTTTCAGAACTAAAGCCAAATTATTTCTGAAGGAAAGTACTTATAAGGACCTAATGAGCTTTAAATTCACACCTTCAGCTAATTAAGCTTAATTTTCTCTGTGTATACATGCCTTCAGGGAATAAAGTGCTTTCTGCTTACACCCTCCTAAGGAAATGCATGATCAGAGGAAGTAAAAATAGCAACCAGAAGAAAAATTATCAGTCATATTCTTTTCACCACTATGTCAATAGAATCTATAAACTATTAAAATAAGGGCACATGCTTTACTCAGAATTAATGTATGAGCTAAGTAACTTGAAATATACTATTAATATAAACAGTTTTCATGAAATAGTAATCATACCTGATTTAAAGAATTGGAAAATGATTGAAGTAGTTAAGGAAGAGGCTATTTTCCCTCAGTCTGATTTCATGTTCTGCACATTCACAACTTTTAATTTGATTCCTTAAAGTTAAATATCGCAGAACATTGAGCTCCCATTGATTAAATAAGAAAAGGTTCAGAAATGAGTCAAACCCTGTGTTTTAAGCATAGGACGGT